CCCCCCCCCCCTCCCCCCCTCTAAAATCAATTCTCTCCTGGAGATCGTCTTCGTGAGCCTCTCATGATTTCAGGATAGTTGAAACCCTCTTGAACATTCAGAAAGAGTGAATATGAAATTCTAATCACGAAAGGTGTTCCCCGAGGGGATACATACCTAGAGTTTGTTTTGTGAAGCACGTCAATTCTCTCCTGGGGAGCGTCTTCGTGAGCCTCTTCTGGTTTCAGGATAGTTCAAATCCTATGATGTTCCGATTCAATGCTCACCGATGATCTGAGCCATGGGGCAAGTTTGTTTTCCTAAGAATCTTTTTGAACATTTCGAGAGCACATGTTTGAACATTTAAAGTGCATATGAACATATATGTACGAAAGGTCGCCTCCGAGGGGATAAATCACCATGTCGAACATTGCATTTTTGTTCCTGCCTCTCGCGTTCTCTTCTCTTCCCGCTGTCCTACCTTTCGTGTCTCCCTCCTCTCAAGTGACAGGTAGAGGTCGATCGTCGGTGACCCTCCCAAGACTCTGACAGGTTGGGGGTTGCTCAATGTCTCAAACCTGGCGATGGACAGTCAGACTTCGTTCTACCAGAATCTGCAGGCTTCGCCAAAACGCGTGGCTTCGGACTCACTGGCGTTCTTCCGAGAGTGAGGCGCCGTGGAAGAAAGAAACGACAAGTGGGTGTTCGGTGGGTTTGGGCGTCGGTCTTGCCTTGGATCCCTAAAAGCCCTGGGCTCCCTGCACCTAACTGCTTGGCACCTCCAGACAAACAAGATCAAACAAGTTTATTCAGAGTCCGACGAGAGGGGGTGTCCCTTCCTGGACCATCCCCTGTTTGGTATTCGGCTTTCATGGTTCCAGATGCCATCCCCAGATGCTCTCGGTTGTTTCAGGTGGTTTTCGGTTCAGGACCATATGCTTCGGTCGGACACGGTGAATCGCTGGGTCTTTTGGTGGGCGACGTTCGAGCTTCGCTTGTAGTAGCTGAATCGAGCAAGAATAAGAAGACTTTGACAGAATCCAATACCTGAAAAGAGACATGATTCATCATTATAAAAACAATATATAATATATAGTCTATACTCAATTCATTATACCATTTATCCCTGCTAGTTGGACCACAGCAAAGGGCTTGACGGCTTGACACTTCGATGATTCATTTACCACCCTAGATCTGAATTGAATCTTCTAATTGATACACTTGGTATGCAGGGGTGCCAGGGACCGTGCAAGTCTGGCCAAAGACGCTTGCACTTTTCTATGATATCAACTCGGGACGCTGAGTTGACGTACCTGCAAGACGACCCGTGATGCAAAGCAGTTCACCCGTTGTTCTCGGCCCTTTATAAGGTCAGTTTTTTAGGTTTCAGGTCGTCTCCGCACTAAACTGGTAATGCACTGAAGGGCTAATCCAGAACTGATGACTACCAAACTGCACTCTTGCGAGCTCTCTTCGAAGTGTGGGCTGAATGTTTGTGCTATTATGTGTTTGTTTCATTTTGTTTCCAAACAACGCTGGTAGTTCCACTATCAAATTGCTATGAATCTGAATGGCCGTATTTGCACTCCTGACTTCACCATAAGTGCTCCTTAATAATACTGTATACATCGTTGATATAGCTGCTGCACACCTGACATTAAGTTGGCGTACAATTGTATTACTCCATGGGTCATGGGTCCATGGTGCTTGGAATTGCTCTGATACTCAACACAAAAGGTCCCACATGATCATCAAAGAAACCGGGCTGTTGGACTGGTCTGTTGGCCATGCGAGCTTCCAATGGTATCACAGGTCAGAGCATCCCAAGACTGCAAGCCACCAAACAAACCAGATTTTGATCAAGATCAGTGCCGGCGACTGTGGATTTCAGCTCAAATACCTCAATACCCATTTCTATGCAGAAAAGGCTCCCATGGACAGCCGGCAAATTTATCGTGCAATCCTTTCGCAGCACATGTAAAGAATGCTAAATCCACATCACTGCACAACTGTTTCGCCTAGTTCCTTTGCAACTCGTTTACGAGGCAGCCATGTTCCCACGACCGCGTTTACTGGGTTGATCCAACACGATCCCTCCAAAGATGGGGTCATTCGCCATGGACACTCGTTGAAACTGAATGCTTGGGCCAACCGTGAGCTGCAGATGAAGCTTTGCCTGTTGGCCGATGGTCTGGGTGTGACCAGTTTGCTGAGGAACGTCGCCCTACAAACCTGGGCCAAGCCAGGAAACGAGGCGCGCTCGGAGTCGACAGTAGTGCTGTGACGTTTTACAAAGGAGGGGTCAAACCAAATTCTAATCACCCGGCAGCAGGAGAGCAAATTTGTGAGCATCTCCACATATAACATATACTGTAATAAGGAGACCTGTTACACCCTAGAATGTCCATGGGACATATGCGTGACCGCAGATGATATATAATAAACGTCATTGGTTTTGTGGCCCCCTGATGTTGAAGTCATTCTGGTCGTACACCAAACTGGTGGTTTTCACGTTTCGACCTCCCAGACACACCCCAACCACCTTCGAAACGCCCGGAGGCAGCCCGGAGGTACGGAGGGAGCCCAGCTACCACTTGGAGAGGGCGTGTTCACTCGAATGGGTGTACAGCAATGTTGACTGATTCATGCCCCCGTCGATTAAAAGGTTTTTCGTGTTTCTTTTTAATCGACTGGGATGGTTTATTCATCAAGTCAAGAATCTACATTACGGGACAAAGTGTTTGGTATATATATATATATTATACAATGTCACCTGGATTTACAATTGAGACGATAAAGGAACCACCCCAAAACTGTTGCACCCACTTGGCAGTTCACTGCATTGAACGACAACTTAGATGTGCAGCTCGCATGTCCGGTCAGGTGCAGCACGCATGGTTGGCACGCGACTCCCCGGTCGAAGGCTTGGTGATGCATTGACTGGACTGGGGGTGCCGAGAAGGTCCACTCACCTTCTTATTAGGTTTTGCTTTAAAAAACGAGGAGTGAAACTGGTTGATCCATTTTCTCGGTCGAAATGCAACAGGTGGCTGTGTGCATTCGATCATCCTGTCTAACATGCTAGCTGGTGAAGATGATGGTTTGAGCATCCGACAAAACCAAAAGTAACAGGAAGGAGGTGGGAGGAAGGTGGGACAGGAAACCTGATGGGAGCATTTTCTTTGCTATTTCTATGTCCTTTGCCTAGGTACAAAGTTTGGTCCAACACTTTATCTTGGGAGGGACTCGGCATTTACATACCATCCATGAGAATGCCAGTGAAGCTTTGGCTCCTTTGGCTCCAGGGGTGCCAGGAGGGTAACTCCAAATAGTTGCTGATGGAGGACGGCTGAAGTCCTGCCCGGCGTCATGGATCATATCCGATACCCACCCACAGCTGCTTGATTTGTTTCATTGACAGTCTGCTGCAAAAGGAAAGGTTTGAGGAGCTTCAATATATGAGCTGACCCAAGTCTCTGGCGTGCAGGTGTAGACCATCCCGGCTTCACAGTTGTCGATGGACATCAAATCTGGATCCATCAGCCTTTACCCACAAACAACCGCGACCATCACTACTACTTGCAGGACCTGGGATTTGGAATTGCTTGTGTAGATCAGGTTTACTGTTTGTGTGCTCCCTAGAATGTACAAACTCTGGTATATAACTAGATTTTGCTGGGACTCGTTGTGACTGTGGTGGTTGCTGCTGTTGTTGTTGTTGTTGCAATGTCTAGATCGATCAGCAAGTCCAAGAGGATGCTGTTGGCATTAATTGTTGGTTTGCCAGATAGGTGGTGTTTACAAGAGGTTTGAATGCAACAGTCGCAACAGAAGTCTTAGATGTGTGTGTGTGTGTGTGCCTGTCTGCACAAGATTTGCTTAGATGTGCGGAGCTTGAAAGCGGTCTTAGAGGGTCTAAGCCTAAGATCATAGAAATGTGAAATGTGTTACACTATATGCTTTAGGACAACTTGATTCCAAGAGTTCCAAATGTCATCTACACGTATTCTTCACTGACCACCCGATTTGTTGAGTCGTCGCAAACAGATTTCCCGACCTTACAGCCAGAATCAGAAGTCCTGGTCCGTGTACAGTGCGGGCATACGTTAGGTGGATTCAAGGAAGGTGCATCTTTATAGAGGTGTGTGGCTTCATCTTGGTGTGGCACTTCTTCAGGCGCAATTCATGAAGACCTTCTCATGGCTTTCACGTTCGCCCTATCCAAGTTGGACCTCACAAAGACAAACATCCAGAGCCAGAGGCCTCCCTCAGCCAGAAGATTGTTCCGATTTGGAACCACTCATTCTTTTCATTTATCCCACGTCTATGATGTGGGATGTTAGATTCTCCCATGTCCTATCCTCTCCAACCTCCAACAACCTTCCTAAACATAGATTTGTTGGATTTTTTGCTCCATCTTCAGGATGTAGATGGACCATGCCTTTGAAAGAGTTCTGCACCTATATATAGTCTACACCCAAGACCCAAGACTGTCAATAGATGTCAGTAGTATTTGCTTATGTCAGGTGGTGCCGGGTTTCCTTTGGTTTCTCTTCATGTTTCTCTTCCCAGGAGCTCGAATCCGACTGGTCTCCGCCCGCCGACTGGAGCAGTCCCTCGACCTCCCTGGATATCAAGCCGTGGTCAAGCGGTGTGCAGCGGTGAGGTTTTGGGTGTGGTGACCGTGGTCACCGTGGTCCCGGCCGTGGTCCAATCCGACCATGTAAAAGCAGAAGAAAACAAACATGGCCGGAAAACTTCCAGACTGATGCACCAAAAACCATGGCCCCTCGGAAGGCGGGTTTTCAACCACGTGCAGCTTCCAACAAAGAGGTGTCAAGGAGGGTGTTTTGGTGCCTCCGGAGCAGTGGTCCCAGACATGGATTGAAAACCTCTTCAGGCCTTATAGTGGTCCCCAAACATATAGATGATAGATAGAAATAATCGGTTTCCAATACATGTTCTACGTGGGGATCTACCTTTTCTATCTATGACACAGGGACACAGGGTCTATATACATACTATACTTGCAAATTCACTGACCTGCTAGGTCAGACCCCTTCTACTCAGCATCCGAGGTTTATACCGCCATCCTAGGGGGGGTTCAATAGGGTTTTACAGATCATCCATTTCGTCCATGTTTCGGCTTCGCCCCCGTTGAGCCGCCACAAAACGGTCCAGCGGACCGGCGTCGCCCTGGGTGCTGATGTGGCGTCCTGATGTGGCCGTCCGATCGCCAATATAGATACGACCTAATACGATTAGGCAGTTCGATACCAGGACAGATCAGATATGAGTGAATATACGAGACCAATAATAGAAACCGAAGAAGCCGAGACAGAACAAGACAAATGATGAACATGGACAGTGGATGAACATTGGGCTGTTTACACATATTGTACACAGGTGGCATTCAGTGGTTTCTCTCTAATCGACTCTAATCCCTTTGACCCTCTCTTGCTGAAAGTTGCAGGACCATCCACCATCGAAATGCAGGTGACTCCTTTGCGCCAGAGTTCCCACAAAGAATCTGGAACCGAGACAAGTCCCAAGAGAACACTAAGTCTCCAGTGCTTCACCTGGAGAAAAGAGAACACCATCTGAAGCCTCCAGACCAGACCTCGGACCAACAACCGCCGAGGACGGCAACGTCTCGTGCTCACACTCACACCCGCGTCGCGCGCGCGCACGTGCAGACAACGAGACCTTGATCTTGGAGAGTATCAGCTGGCAAGTCCTGCGGCGCATGCGCTTGTTGGCCACGCCCGAGCTCCTCCAGGAAGGCTGTGCCGCTTGGAGATGAGAAGTCTTTTGTGTCTTAATTTGTTATTGGAGATGGATCAGATCAGATGGATGTGGCTCGCTGTGGCTAAAAGATCCAGGAACTCTCAGCTACACGATCTCCCGATGTCCCCACCGTGTTGAGCACGCCCCAGAAAAAGGTTCACGAAGGTTCACTTGAACTCATGTTTTTGCAATCTTGGTGTGGACAACATTGGTGGAGGTGTTCTTTGTACCCCACAGAAAAGACTTGCCCTATATGTACTGTATATTGTTTTCTTTCCTGGATTATTATGATGTATTTTGCAAGGGAGAGTTCCCCGTCTGCAATTTCCACAAAAACTGTCGTCTTGATGAATTCATATATACATATATATGTGTGTGTGTCATTATATTTCCATATATGAGCTTTTCTAGCTGCTGAGACTTTCATCAAATTGCCAAGACCCCTGCAACTTCTGCAAGTGTGCATGGCAGTTGGAGTTGGTTTGGTGTGTTTTAGAGATGCTGTGGCAAACCGGTGCAAAATTGGCTCGCTGTATAGCCTCTTGGGTGATGCAGTTTGGTTGTTTGTTCTCAGTATTTGTTTCAGCCGTACAGTGCGACAGTATTCACGCGTGTACTATTGTTGGTGTTATATAGAACATTTTTGAATACAAAGATCCGAGGTCATGTGGTGCCTCCATATGCCTCCATAAAGCCCGATTGAGAGAACTGAGTTTTCTCGAGCCAACTGGGAGGCTCCATATTGTGGTCCATTTATATCTGGTTTACTGGTTCACATTGATGTAGGCATTTGTTGTACAAGAGTTAGTTTCTCCTGTTGGTTTTCTTTTTAGCCCCTGACAGCGCTTTGTGGGACTGTACAAGAATGACTGGCTTCTTCTGGGCCGATCCCACTGCATCTTCGGCTGGGCAAGCAGGATTCCTGGCTGGAATGCAGAAATCAGCCTGCTTCCCCGACCCTCCACTCGTGGCTTTGGGCTCGATATGACTATGGTTTTTGTGCCAATAGGCTGGTATTGTATCAGAGCGAGGTAGGAATCCTATGACAAGAGAGTCAAAGACTCGAAACGTAGCTGAAGATCCTAGTTCTGCATGGGGTGTGTTTTGGCATAGGAAAACCCCAAAAGTTAAACTACGTTTGCATCAGTCAAGTCGCTTGATTGGGGGGTTGCAGTATTCTAGAACACACCCGCATGCTTACTGCACATGGGATCCTCTAGGGATTTCGCTCGTATACTATTGGACTCCCGTTTGTCTCGATGCATGTCAGCTTAGAGACGACACCTCCTTCAGAAATCTGCTCACGTTAGGAGAACTTGTGATCTAGGGAGATTATACACTGCACGTTTCACATTCCCTAAGATGTGCAAGCCATCATATTGTTTCTTGTTAAGAAAGGCTATGGTCACGTGGGGGAACTTGACATCTATCTTTCCAATATTTATCAAAAATTGAGACACGTCGAGACAATGGAGAGGAGTGCCCCTTTTTTCCACAGGCCCAATCTCATGTTTCAAATCAAAAGAACTTTGACCTAGTAGGTTGGAGGCCATTGCTACTAGAAACAAAGAAAGCAGAAAAGGAACCTCATGAACTCTTACCATCGGACCCAGAACGGTGCGGGGAGCTGGCCGCACATGACCGATGGCTTTGGCTGAAGCCCCGCCGCTGAGCAGAGAAAGCTCACTGAGCAAAGCCTCGCCGAAGCTGCGGAGCAAAGCCTCTGGGCTGTTGGACGTCAGGCACCTGAGTGGAACGAAGCAGGGGGAGGAGGATGAAGGAGGATTTCAGGACCTCTCTGTCAAAATGGAAATGTTTAGAGTTGTATCGTGGGATGTCCGGGCCTGTGGAAGAGTCCTTATTATTTTTGGAGTGGATCGACAGAGATGCAGGGCCTTAAGTGGGGGTTGCGATCCTGAGAGAGAAAGGGAACCTAGTAGGGAACCTGCTAGACCAGGGCAAACCTTGACTTTGGTAGGACTTAGCTGCCTATCGTTATCAGGACTTCATTGGTTTGTGGGTGATATTGGGTGACATGATTTGATTATTTTCTTTCGGCGAACTGCACCGTGTGGTTTAGGTTCTGCTTCATACTGCTCGCCCAACCATGTTTGGAATTATATGTAATATGTATATACTTCACACCCTCTGACCATCCCAGACCCTCAGATTGGTCAGGGTGTTGACTTGGACAGTGAGAACTGATTTCCACAGTGGCCTGGCTGGGTGGTCTATTTCCTGCCAGGGTCCGTTCGTTCCCTTGAGAGGGGGGTCAGGTTCTTGTTGGATGGGGCCGAACTCCACCCAGCTCCCTTTATATTACGTCTAAAAGCCAAAACTGCAATCAGGTGCAGTGGAAGTCGGCAAGAAAGTAAATGACGCAGCACCAACTGCATCTTCATGCCACATTGGGAAAAGCCTCCACATCCACAGCGGCTTCCTCTCCCCAGGCACTCCCCGAAGTGGTTGCAGCTTGACCGTGTGCATGGCGACTTTGTGCGTTCGCACAAGAAGCATGCGGAGGCATGGATCCTCTCAGCAGCGCCTTGGACGCCGACGCCTAAACGGGGGTGTTTGGGAACGCGCCCCAGGGCGCCAACACGAAAAAGCTCCAGTCGCGCCAAACTCAATGAGGGAGGCCACTCCCAAACCAGTTGTTGTTCTTATATGATATATAGTTATACCCTTAAGTGAGATTGTGTGCATTAATTTAAGGTTAAAGTTAAGTTGTACTGTATATATATATATATATAGTTATTATATGGATAATATCTTATACACATATACATAGCATATGTTGGAAATTGAATATTTACATTGAGTCTCCGACACAGGCGCTTTCCTTTAAAACAAATAGGATCCCGAGAATCTTGCTGGCTTGGTCTTTCTTTGGATCTAGGTGAAGTGATTGGATGCCAAAGTTGGTCCCAGTGTCTTTTGGAAGATCACAGGATCACGGTCACTGGGAATCTTGGGAAGCATCAGATGCCACTGGATTTGTGAACATGAATAGGCTCAAGGTGTTGGTCTCATAAGATGCGCCTGAATCTTGGAGGACCCGTTTCTGGCCATTTGATGCTACAGGAGAAGGAGATCCAGATTTGTCAAGAAGTGTATGATGTTCCTTCCGGGTCTGGAGGCAGCTTTAAAGCCTAATTTGTAGGAAACATATATAGTCACATGATGATTATTATTTTACAACCACGATCAACCACGTCATTTTGTAGAAGGGTATTTTTTATAGTCCGTATAGTAGTTCAAGTGCGTCGGTATCGTATAGCCCATATAGTAGTTCAAATGTGTGGTTCCAGGCCCAACATGTTGCACCTTTAAGTTTCTGATCATATGGTTTACAAGCATGATATGATTTGTGAGGCATATGGGCCATGAAATGAGTGTGTGTTTCCTTGAAATGAGCACGTTGCTCTATTTGGTAAAATGAGCATATGTTGCGTTGGGACGCGATTCAACAGCTTTGGTGGCAAATAGTAATTGTATAAATGTAATTAGTAGGCGCAGACGTGTACGGCAATTTCACGCCTCTTCCGTGCAAATTCTTGAGGTTTCTTCGGATTTGAGCATTGTAAGGTTCTCGAATCATCTAGAAAATCAACTGTTCAACTTAGGGCCCTTCAGATTATGTTTCAGATGAGTTCGACCATACTTATGGTCAGTGCCCTTTATTTTGTAGCGTGCAACAAGTTTTTTTTGACCAAAAAGGCTTTCTCGAGTCCCAACCCACAATAAAGATTTGAATGGGAATACTTCAGGTAAGTCAACTGTCCAATGGATTACTATAGAATATTATAAATATAGATGAATGATACGCGCACCCAACAACACCGAGCGCTAGATCATCCGTTCATGCCGAACTGTGTCCTCCAAAAGCATTCCTCCGTGTGTTACATCTTCCAAATCCTCCACCAAAATTACACGACGAGGTGTTTGGACACCTTTTTTTTTGTTTTTTCGTCCACACGAGACGAGGAAGGACATCTCTTCATGGGAGCGATCATTGCCTTCCAAAGTCTTGTGCTGGGCGCCGAGGCCGACCTTTTCGGCGATTTGTCCGCGGGGGGTTGGATGTTGGGATACTGTATTTTGGCCTTCAACCTCTATAATTGCTTAGGATTCCATTGTAAGGAGACTTGCCCGTTTCGGTCTTGTTTTTGTATTACGATTGCAGTTCTTATACAACATCACAGATCGGGACCATTGCATCCTGCGAATCAATAAATGATGAGAAGTTTCCACCATCCTTTGTTTGTAGTCGGCCATACTCGCTCCTTGAAGAACTGGTAACAACAAATGAACATGTTTTCTTTCTTTTGTGTAGAATGTAAACCCGTGTTCACCGTTCTTTGGTGTCAAAGAGGATCCACATTCCTCCACTCTCCACCCCTCCAGAGCAGGTGAGCTTGGAGCTAGAGGTCGAGGAGACCTGGTTGAAACGATGGGCCATCGGCCTCCTCTTCCTCGATGTCCCTGAGATGCATGGGTGGGCTGTGGTCTGACACGGCCACTGCCACGTTCTGAAGCCTCCAAGGTGTGTCCCGGGCGCATTCAGATGTAGGCCATGTAGGCCTTTGCTTCACCAACCTTGACCCAGACATGTAGCTCAAGCTGGCGTGGTGAAAAAAGCTGCAAGATATCCCTTTTTTCGTTGCAAGAACGGTCACGCTGTAAGGGAATCATCTCCGGATAAAGCCTTGTCGACTTGAACAGAACTAGGTCAACTAGGTCTTTGCTGACTGGTTTCAAGCCATGTTGATGTTCAACTGTTCAACCTTGAAACCTCCATCACCGAGAGGCTTCAGATGATTCAGACAGACCCTCAGCATCCCCACGCCGTGAATGGGGTGGCCAGTAGGATCCCATCACATCCCCACTACACAGAGGTGACGATGTGGTTAACAGGATGCGGAGAAACCGATGTTCTGATGTGACGACCCGGTTACAATTGGCTCAGGATTGGACTGGGGTGTTGAAGGTATGTTGGAA